ATTTGACAAAAAGTAAGAGAAAAGATGATAAATAATGTCATCATATTATCATTTTGCTTGTTTTACTATTAATTAGGAAGCTCATTAATACGCGCGTTACGCCCTGCCATTGCCTCGGATAAATAATGGACTATTCCGTTTTAAGTGCGAGGACAGAAAAAATAAAAAGTTATGTCAAAGACTGTGCTTGAGTTTGGATTGGTTGATTCGTTTTCTACGGTTTATCAACCCTTTGCAGGATTTGGACCCTTAGACGTGGTGTAATGGTTAACAAGCCTGTCTCGCTAGATCAATTACGACTGAGTAGTGAGTTCGAACCTCACGGGATGCCCCATACTTTCGGCCATGTGCCACATCTAAGTCATTTGCGGACTTTGACGTCGTATAATGGTTAACAAGCTTGTCCCGCTAGATCAATTGTGAATATGTAGTGAGTTCGATCCTCGCCGAGTGCCACAACTATCTATGCAGGTTATTTAAAGTCATAAAATATTTTAGATTGTAAGAATTTTGAATTGGGAGATAATAAAGATTTAGTGATACAAGTCTCTGGCCGGATATTTGAGTTAATCTAATTGGTTTTAACAAATCGAGTAATGAAGGTTGTCTTAAACGGCCACTCTTCTATATCACTTCACATTAATGTACAAGGGCTCCCGCAAGGGCTCTATATTTGGACCTACATTATTTCTTATTTTCATCAACGACTTTTCCCGATGTCATCAGTTTCAAACTGGGAATTTATGCTGGTGACACAACTATTTACTTTTAATAAGTTCGATAGGCTCAACCAATTAAAATTGGCAGCTGCTCTCGGAAGCGATTTCTAATCTGTTGGTAACTGAAGCAATAAATGGCTTGTAAATTTTAACCAATTGCTATCCTTTAAGCATCATAGAGAACCATTTTTGCGACAAAATCCAAAAAAGAGTCTGCAATGTTTTCGGTCCTGACCTGTCCTATCGGCTATGGTTATCTGCAAAATACATTAACCTTACATTGCAATGTCCCTAGCCTGGATATTGTGATCTGTCAAGATCTCACAGAGCACTCTTCATGATCTAAAGGACAACGCCTGCTCTGTACACATAAGCTGATATTATATTTTTAATCGTTTCACCACAATCAAGGCGATGATACCACTAAGACGCAAGGGATAGAGGTTACAAAGAGTGAAAGAGAACGAGAAGACTGAGAATAGGGAGGATTAAGGAAAGGACCAAAAGGAACAAGGTTCAAGAAAACAGAAGAGGGCAGTTGACGTTGCATTTAAGTTTGTGAAGTTTGTAGTTGGAAGGGAAGCAAGAAATCAGAAGGGAGTTCCACATGTGGGAGTTGCGTGAAAATAAATTGTTAGATTAGAAGTGGCGAATGCATCTAGCTTGTTCAACAGTAAAACAGTGAGACCTAGTTGCCAATTTCGAAGCTTTCTTTTACTATTTTCGGAACAAGAGAGAAAATAGGTTTGAATTCACATCGTTCGAGATTCAAGCATTTAGTAAGCGAACCAATTTCTCTATTTTACTTCAAAATTATTCTCTCGTTAAATAAATAAATGCCTACTTTTTTTCTGCAAACTAGAAAATAGTCCATCAAACATTACCGAAGGAAAAATAATGGACATTTTTTTTATTCATAAAAGGATAAATATTTTACTATTTCTTTTTTTTTTTTTCGTTATTCTATCCAAAGAAGGACGTTGTAGAAATCTGCTGCATGATAATGGTCAATTCAGAGAAGATTCTTTCAATTCTGTCCCAACAAGCAAAGAAAAAATAGGTGCTAGAAGAGGAAAGGAATCGTTGTTTTCTGGACTATTTGGAACAAGACTAACAGCCGTATAGCGTTGAAACTCCAGTTCCCGTACGATCACCAAAGTATGTCTTTTGTTGTTTTCTCTTCCATGACTTGTATTTCTCCATTTTTGGCACACTTCCAGCCATTCCTCGATAATGGCTCGGAATAAGAGGAAGGATTGAGCAAAAGATCAAAAGGTCTTGACCTGACCTCTCGAAAAATACATCAACCTTACATTACAGTTCAAATTCTCGCTGGGTTCGTTATATTCACTTACGCCCAAATGCTCTTGGGAAAAGTATGAATCCACTTCTTCTCCCCCAGCTATAGGTTAATTAGAAACATATGTATCACTAAACCATTATTATTTCCAAAACAAAAAAAAAATCTTACAATCTAAAAACATTATCTGGCTTTAAATAAGGGTTCGATGAGCCGAATAAAACGAATCAATCAAACCAAATCGTTTAAAGAGATTTCGTAACAGGGTAACGGCAGATAATCTTGCTAGTTTCCAATAAATAGCTATTAATATTCTTTCAATTGAAAATAACTTTATCAAATTTTCCCTTATGTTTTTTTCGATTTTGCCCCCCCCCTTTTTAAAAGTAATTCCGCATTCTATTCCCACGTCGTCTGCATGCCACCCCCAAGCTACCCCCATTACTGCCACCCGGATTATCATCTCTAATAACTGTGTCGT